TCAATTATAGTTAAAATTTAAATAAAAAAATCAAGTTAATTGTAAGATATTTATAACGCAGTTTCTTTGTCAGCATTACGTGTGTTTGAGAGAAAGGAAAAGAAGAATATTGATAATATACGTAAAATGAGATGAGTTATTAGTGTATAATTAATTGAGTATTAAATATTATTTTTTTTAAAAAATAATAATATGATTCTTAAGCAACTTTTCTATATAACTTTTTTTTGCAAAAATACACAGTTTAGCAGTACTTTCCTTATTATTCCCTCCGTCCCAGAATATAGCAACCTAGGATCGGATGGAACATATCTTAGTACGACGAATCTGGATATGCCCCTGTCATTCGTAGTACTAGAATACGTCCTATTCGGTTCCAATTCGGTTCCAGGTTGCTATATTTTGGGACGAAGAGAGTACTAATAAACCATTTTGGTTTATAATCAGTTCTCGACTAATCAATGAGGCTCCTTCAGCCGATCGATGAACAGAAACACACAGAAAAGGTTGGCTGTAAAACGCAGCGGATGGCGCCCAAAAGGAAGAACATTACGATCACAAAAAGGCAGAGAAACAACAGTCGCGTGCGTACCGTATGCCGGGCGACACAGTACCGCGGTTGGTACCTTGCTAGTAGTGATCGGCAACAGAGTTTTTGCTGCTACACAGTGTCCGAATAATGAATATTGTTTGATGAGGGGGATCGCTTTTGTCATTTGATGAGCTACAGGGGGAGAGCTAACCGTATCTGCCAGCAATGGTGCCAGTGCTATAGACTGTAGTTCTGGAAAAAAAATTATTTTGGCCCCGGCATAGTTCGGCCAAAACAGAGGATGGTATATATTAACCATGCATGGTGATAAGATCGAGCTTTGTTTGGAGGGTAATTTTACCATTCTTCAAAAAGTATTAGGAGGTACCACACTTTCAAGTATAAAATTTGGTACCTCCAGATATACTAAATACCTTGAGTTACAAAAAATTTAGTGTAAAGTTGAGGTACCTCGAGATACTTTTTCAAGGATCATAAAATTTCTTTTGTTTGGAACATGGGAATTTTTATAGAAATGGGTTCAATTCGCGAGTCCGATTATCCTTGCCCTACACAAGATTACACTATATGCTACGTAGTGTAGTACATGGTCCCATTTGAGATAGCTGAAATTGATATATTCATAGATAATCAGATTATTTTATAGCTATTTGAGGGCATAAATAAAGAAATTAACTACTACAAAGTATTCCATAAAAAATTATATAGAAAATTATTACGCAAAACACACTATTTAGAAGTTTGAAAAATAAAAGTTTGAAAAATAAAGAAAATCCAGAATTAAAAAAGGAACATGGCCATTGTGTTGAGTAATTCATCTAATACTCTTGTACTACACACGGTAAGAATTTACTTTACATCAGCTATATGGTAGGAGCAGTAGAAATTTACGATAGAACAAACTCGGATGCCGACTCTTCGATGAGGAGTCGCATTCACTGACATGGTAGGGTATCATGCCTTTTGGATGGGCTTGTGTTGTGTGGGTGATGAACTTGCGATAGGGGCCATGCACTGTTCTAGGGTCAATGAGCAAAGATGCATGGGTAGTTTGGCTATGGGTTTCTAAATCCAAATTCAGTAGTTGGGGTAATGATAGTGATATATAAGGATGTGCACGTTTTTCCTTACAAATGCACTGATTTGGATGTGTTGTGGTATAGTTCTTTTTAAATATTACGACTTTAAATCTTATTCCAATGAATATTACACAAATCTAGAAGCGTTGTCAATAATAATTTAGTAAGGACATGATTCATCTTAACTCTATCTTTTTTATAAACTTGCCAGCATTGTCCGTTCAAAGGTCATGTGAGTTGGTATCGGAATTTCGCTGCTTTTTTTTGAAAAACAATCCTTTTTAATAGAAAAAAAAAATCTTAAAATCAAGACAACATGGAAAATATATTTATCGTAGTATCTTCCCATCAGAACAATATCCCAGCAATTTCTCTGAAACATGCATAATTCCACTAATTGAGAACCAACCAGACCAAAAGCAGGAGACGCTAATTTGTCTCTAACCACCATCATTACCCATCACTAAACACTCCCCCAAAACGTGTAGAGAGAACCACTGATGATGTTGATGATGATGATGATGCATGAGATGACTTCGATTTGGTTTGGTTAATTTCTTCATCAGCTGGCCGGCCGGTAGCACGAGCGGCCTCGGCGAGAGAGAGAGAAGATAGGGGTTGTGTTTGGACAACCCACCGATCCGGTGCTGGATCCAACGGAAACCGGGCCATTTTTTACACCGATCACGATGAGATCTGGGGGGAGTGCACGCACGCAGATGAGTGCATCATAAATCACCGAAAAATCTCTCTCTGAGATGGGAGTTTGGTTGACCTCGACATTGGCCTGCCTTCCTGTGAGCTGGCTCCCGTGCAACATTTGGCCTTTTTTTTTCTTCTTTGTTGCAATTGATCTAGACTTCGGACCAGCACACGGGCATGTGTTGTAGATTGTTTCGCCAACCTACAGGTTGCACGGATTATGATTATAGATACTATAAATATTAAAATTTTAATATTATACTATATGTTTACTAACTTTGAAATCATAGCTTCTTATAGTGAAAGAAGAGCTCATATCAGTTACAATTTGGTAACCGTTAATCTTAATTTTTAGAACTAAGTTAATAAAAATCATTAATTGAAAGTCCGAGATAGATACGATTTCGTATTTATTGATTAAGGATTCGAGAGTTATCAAATTAGAGCCATGTCATTTTCAGTTACGTTATTTGACACTCAACACGATCTACGGCCACGATAATATAATCATTTAGAACATATGAATTTTATATGATTTTTTATAAGGTTTTAGTGTCTAGTTTCTAGCTCCGAAGAAGGTCTAAGATGTCTTATCATCCGGACTACTCCCTCCGTTTTAAAATGTTTGACACCGTTGACTTTTTGGTACATGTTTAGCCATTCGTCTTATTCAAAAAATTTAAGTAATTATTTATTCTTTTTATGTCATTTGATTCATTGTTAAATATACTTTCATGTACACATATAGTTTTACATATTTCACAATTTTTTTTAATAAGACAAACGGTCAAACGTATGCTAAAAAGTCAACGGTGTCAAACATTTTGAAACGAAGGGAGTATATAGTATGTTGACATTATTTATCGCTTTGTGAGACTATATAGAATGTTGACATTATCTATCGCTTTATGATATAGAGGAGTAAGAATTTAGCTCTAGCTTCTGACGAAGAAAGACAATGATTTTTTTTCTTCATTATAAAATAAATGTTTGTCTGAAAAACAATTCACCAAGAACAACCATAACACCGCAACCACCAATTCCCGCAAAAGCAAAGATCAGTTTTCTGAATGAACCAGAAAGTCTTGCGGCAGTAATAAATCCCCACAACTGTCACAAAATTAAAGGAGAAAAGCACACGCATAGATCATCGTCAACTACAGTCGCGCGAAACCGGGCGATGTGCCCCGTCCAACTCCGACCCGTCCCTGTCCTTGCAATTAGCCCTACGTGGCTTGCTTAATTTGCTTCTTGTCCCAACAGTTGTTGTTGGTTGGATCCAAATTCCCGGTAATCTGTTTCTTTCTTGCGCTAGAGATGGCACCAAATGATACTAGTATTTTTGTTTTGTTTTGTTTGTGAGGGCACAAAAATGGTGATTAGTAGGACATTGGTGGTAAGGGGTTTTGATGAACTTTGGGAGACGATTCGGCCGGTTTTGGTTTCATCAGATGGTCCAGCTTCCATGAGCAAAAATGGACTGTTGCTTGTTGTTTCGGAGGAGGTTTGATCTGTAATAATTGGAGAAATTCCCTTCTTCAGTTGAGAGCTGCTGATTCCGATGGCGTGTTCTTTTTTCTGTCATGGATTACTGTGGGTATGTTTTCTAAGACGAACTTTAATACTCTCTGTTTTAAATTATTATAATTTTAATTTTATTCTAAGTCAAATATTTTACCATTAATTTGCATACATATATAATTTAACCTCTTAAGATTTATGGTTTAGATTTACATACCATATATAATTAACATGCCGTTAAACCGCATAAATTTATGCCCAAGAATAAATACATAAATTTCTAAAATTATTAGTGAAAGTTAGCAAAATTTTGATTTAGAACAAACCGTGAACGACAAGTAATTGAGTAAGTAACATTCCTTTTCAGAATTTCTAGGTTTTTAAGTATTTTTTAACTTTATAATATATTTAATTATTTCATTTGTGCCCTAGAATAATCGACAAACACTCTATTTCGTCCCCCAACGCATCATTCATAAAAACTTTATAACATTCTTCATCCGACACATTAAAAAACAAATGCATACTACAAATTCTAAACCATCCTAGGTTTGTGGGAGTACCTAACTAGAAACATCATTTAGATTGCATAAGTTCAAAACAACCACGCACGAACCAAATTTCAGTGGAGATTATCTAGCAGTCTGTTCGGGTAGCTTCTGTAAAAAAAAAAAAACAAAAAGAAAATCAAGCGGACACAATATAATGTGTTTAGTTCATGCAAAAATTGAAAATTTGATTGAAATTGAAATGATGCGATGAAAATATTGAAAGTTTGTGTGTAGAAAAGTTTTAATGTGATAAAAAAATTGAAAGTTTGAAGAAAGAAAAAAGTTAAGAACTAAACCAGGCAATCTGAATTATAAATTCAGAAACATTCTGTAAAAAAAAAAAACCACAACCAAACCACTCGGTCTCATCTCATCAGTCGTCACTGATCCGCAGACTCCGCGCCCGTGCAGCACCCCGAGCCCGAGCCCCACCGACAACAGAGTAGAATCCGACCCACCCACTGACACGTGGTCCCCACCCACCCCACCTGTCCCCACCCGTCATCATCACTCTCGCCGCGCTGTCCGCTTCTCGCGCCGCCGCACCCGATCCCGACCTGACGTGTGGGCCCGTCTCCACTGCACTACCAGCAGCAGCCGCAGCAGCGAAGCGAAGCGAGCGACCCCTCTCTCCTCTAAGCCAAGCAAAAACACAAGGAGAACTCGCCATAATTCCAATCCACTGTGCCCTAGCTCGCCCACCTCTTCCTCCCCCGCGAGAGAGAGAGGAGAGAGAATTCGATCTCTTCTTTCTCCCTTTTTTTCTGTTCGGTTTTTGCGGTGTGGGAGGGGGCGTGGATTTGATGTAGATTATTAGGGACTACCACCACCACCGTTTCTGTTGCAGTTGCGGAATTGGAGGATTGTGTGTTTGGTTTCTTGATCTGAGGAGGAAGAAGACATGAGAGGTAGTATCGTTTGTGTTTCTTTGTGATGATTTCGATTCAGTTTGCGTTTTGTGTTTTGTTTTTTTGATTTAGTTTTGGATTGGCAAGGTTTGGTGGGTGAGCGGTGATCGCATTTGGGGGTTGGAGATGAAGGAGGTGGGGGAGGTGGAGGAGGTGAGGTGCTTGGACCCGCAGCTATGGCACGCGTGCGCGGGCGGGATGGTGCAGATGCCGGCGCCGCGTTCCCGGGTGTACTACTTCGCGCAGGGCCACGCCGAGCACGCCGACGGCGGAGGCGGGGCGGCGGCGGCGGCCGCGGAGCTGGGGCCGCGCGCGCTCCCGCCGCTCGTGCTCTGCCGCGTCGAAGGGGTCCAGTTCCTGGCCGATCGGGACTCCGACGAGGTGTACGCCAAGATCCGCCTCGCGCCGGTCGCCCCCGGGGAGGCCGAGTTCCGGGAGCCCGACGAGCTCTGCCCGCTCGGCGCCGCCGGCGACGCGGCGGAGCCGTCGCCGGAGAAGCCGACCTCGTTCGCCAAGACGCTCACGCAGTCCGACGCCAACAACGGCGGCGGCTTCTCGGTGCCCCGCTACTGCGCCGAGACCATCTTCCCCAAGCTGGACTACAGGGCCGACCCGCCGGTGCAGACGGTGCTCGCCAAGGACGTCCACGGCGTGGTCTGGAAGTTCCGCCACATCTACCGCGGCACGCCGCGCCGGCATTTGCTCACCACCGGGTGGAGCACGTTCGTGAACCAGAAGAAGCTCGTCGCGGGGGACTCGATCGTGTTCCTGCGCACCAGGCACGGGGAGCTCTGCGTCGGGATACGGCGGGCGAAGCGGATGGCGTGCGGGGGGATGGAGTGCATGTCGGGGTGGAACGCGCCGGGCTATGGCGGCGGCGGCTTCTCGGCGTTCTTAAAGGAGGAGGAGAGTAAGCTGATGAAGGGCCATGGTGGTGGTGGGTACATGAAGGGCAAGGGGAAGGTGAGGATGGCCGATGTCGTGGAGGCCGCTAGCCTCGCGTCGAGCGGGCAGCCGTTCGAGGTGGCGTACTACCCGAGGGCTAGCACCCCGGATTTTGTCGTGAAGGCTGCGTCGGTGCAGGCCGCAATGAGGATCCAGTGGTGCTCCGGGATGAGGTTCAAGATGGCTTTTGAGACAGAGGATTCATCAAGGATTAGCTGGTTTATGGGGACAATATCTTCTGTTCAGGTTGCTGATCCCAACAGATGGCCGAATTCGCCGTGGAGACTTCTTCAGGTTTGCTTGATCCAGTGTTATTTATAGTTGTTACATTTCACAGAATTGGCGCTGGATGCATGCCCTGCATTGTGTTGACTAATATCTATTGCTTCTCAGTGTTGCTAGAACTTGCTGTTCATATATTATCAGTTATGTTTGAAATTAGCTAGAGTGGCAAACTGCTGTTGAATGTCAATCTCATCAATTAGTGATGGTGGAACCTGAGTGGGTTACTAGCCTGATGTTCACGGTTTTCAGTGAATGTGTTCTTGTCTTCTTGGTCTTAAACTGAGGTTTCTCTACTCAAGTTATCAACATATTGATTAGGAATTTGTACAATGGTGGGTTCGGGTTCCAGGTTCCTACTTTATTTAATGAAATCATGCAATGAGTAAAGCCGGTGGGAATCCCAGGGTATTAGGACTTAGGAGGATGCAATAGGTAGGAACAGCAGAGTGTTCTTTTCTGATAGGTAGTAACAAACTCGTTATGAAGGAAAAGGGTTTTTGGTCCTTGGGAGCTTGCTTGGTGCTTAAAAGTTGGATTGTCTCTTTGCTAGTTCTACAAGTGGCTGTATTCTTTTTTGACACTCGGCAGTTAACCCTTTTAATTCCGAGTGCAGCATTTAAATTCTCCCATGCAACTGCCAAATTGATATCAGATGCCACACCTTTGCATCCGACCTTCACCTCAGTCCAAATGAAGAATTGAAAAGGCATGATATATTAGCTGGACACAATAAACAACAGAAATTGGGCTGTTGGGCCCAGTTAAACGAGCAACGGTATGTTTAGTTGCATTAACCTAGGATGTATTAAACAAATTTCTAAGCATATAATGAACTGCATATTTTTAGAAAGTAATTATTTTACCTACATGAAACTACACTGTTTGATAGACCCATTCTGAATCCTGTTCCCTTCAAATTGATAGTATACGCTGCATCAGTCTCTTCCAGTGGTCAATAATTGAGATCAGGGTCTTCATTGTCAGAAGTTTCATTTGCAATCAATCATGTATCACAGGGCCCATATATCATCTTTCATGCTTGACATAATCATTTAAGAGCATCCATTAGCCACACAATTGAAATGTGCTAAAAAATGTCCTTAGCTTTGCATCTTTCAAAAATTTCACGAGGAAAAATTTTATCACCCGACACATCGAACCACTGAATGTTGTATCCGCCATATGCTCAGCCTACATCCCACCTTGTATCCACGTCATTGTGCCCTTTTGCTCTCAGCCGTATTGCGCCCACTAAACATATTGTATCTGCTAGGACTGAGAGAGGCAGACCCATGTAAATTTGTGTATATTGGGGGGTTGTAGGGGGCAAAGAAAAACCTGCCAGAAATTAATTATTTATGGTGTTTTACTATTTTTCTGCCCATTCGCTTTTCATTGGCAAACTTTCTCACCCCAGCCCTGCCCAAGAGCCACTTGTTCTGGCATCATGGTTATCCGTCGCCAACACCACTCATCTACCTCTGACACGAAGTTATAGTTTGAAAGCGAGATTAACCTTAAACAATATGTGTTTCCTGCCAAGTGCCAAATACTGCATACACTTTTTAAAACAAATGCAATAAATTGGGTGGTAACATCATATTTAATATGCTATTAGAAGGAAAGCTATTAGTTGTTACCGGTACTAGTATAATTGTATGCTAGTAGCAGTAGAACTTCAAGTGAGGGAGTGAGCTATATTGCTGTCCACATGTCTCAATAAGTATCTCCTTCACTGCCATAAATTTGTCTTTTTCACCAGTTTCCCCTCATATGATAGCTGGCTGATATTGTTAATCAGCACATACCAGACATCAACTTTTGAAGAGGAGATTAAAACTAATGGTGCTGGCCTAGCTGAATATGCTAGTTCTATTGGCAGATGTGCCATATGATTATTAGCTCCTTCCTTTCCTGTCAATATACATTGGATGTCAGCTTGGCATGTACAATAAGGCAATGAAGGGATACATGGGGGATGCTTTGCTAGTATTATTATTAAGTGAGATGTTGGAAATTCATGCTGCTTACGCAGTCATAGCAGATCTAGATAGAGTTGGCTTGTGAAAGTGAAACATCAACGGTAGTTGCCAGTTTTGCCTATTTTAGTTGTGCTGACCTCAGTGTGCTTTTCTTCATTGCTGCACTATATCCTTTTCTAATTCTCATGGTTGCAATTTGCAAAATTCTTACAGGTGACATGGGATGAACCGGACCTGTTGCAGAATGTGAAATGTGTCAGCCCATGGCTTGTGGAGCTTGTGTCAAGTATTCCACCAATCCATTTAGGACCATTTTCGTCACCTCGAAAGAAGTTGCGGGTTCCCCCACATCCTGACTTCCCATTTGAGGGTCATCTTCTGAACCCAATTTTCCATGGGAACCCACTTGGTCCTAGCAACAGCCCACTATGCTGTTACCCGGACACCGCTCCTGCAGGCATACAGGGAGCCAGGCATGCTCAATTTGGTTTACCACTAACAGACCACCAGCTTAACAAGCTGCACCTTGGTCTGTTACATAGCGGCAGTTTTAACAGACTTGATGCTATTACTCCACCTTCCCGGATATCAAAGGGCTTTGTGGTCAGTAGTGCACCAGCCCATGACAATATCTCTTGTTTGTTGTCAATCAGTACACCACAGGTCGCAGAGAAATCTGATGACAGAAAGACGACACCCCATATAATGCTGTTTGGAAAGGCTATATTTACTGAGCAGCAGATAACTTCAAGCGGATCAACAGAGACACTCTCCCCTGGAGTTACTGGAAATAGCTCACCTAATGGCAATGCGCACAAGACAGGAAATGCATCTGATGGTTCTGGTTCATCAATTTGCATTGGTTTCTCATCTCAAGGTCACGAGGCTTCTGACCTTGGTTTAGAAGCTGGTCACTGCAAGGTATTTATGGAATCGGAGGACGTTGGTCGCACCATTGATTTGTCTGTCTTTGGGTCATACGAAGAACTGTATGGTCGGCTGGCTGACATGTTCGGAATCGAGAAAGAAGAAATCATAAACCATCTTCATTTCCGTGACGCAGCTGGTGTAGTCAAGCATCCGGGTGAGGTACCATTCAGGTGAGGACCTCATTATCATATCGTTAGTTTTTTTTTCCCTTACAATCCTCTAACAAGTTTATTGCGATTGCGATGAGATATATCTAATCCATTCTATTTACGTTATAGTGACTTCATGAAAGCGGCACGGAGGCTTACAATAATAGCCGGCGACAGGGAGAGAATTGAGAGACCTCTCATCGAATGCTTAGTTGAGCAGGCGTGATAGTTCAATAAACTCCCGTTTGAATTTAATTCTGAAATATGAATCGTAGCGTGAAAAGACTTCCTTTGTTACATGTACTTGCGTTGGGCTGTTAACTAAGCAGACCTGCTTTGTATTGTCAGTGTTGTGGATTGCTCAAGTTAAGGTGTGTGTGTTTTTATCTTGCCTCGGTTAGCTGTCAGTTTCTTTGTTGCAATCAGTGGTCATGTTCTTCTGTTCAAGTTCGTAAACCAAACACTTGGATGAATCTTAGTCAAAATAAAAGTTCCTTGGGAAATCCTACAATTTCACAGCTCACTGTTACTACTTGCTAGTGCCAAATGCATCCTGAATCTGTCAGAAAAGCATCAGGGCCTGACGCAATTTTTCTACTTGTCCAATTGGTCTTTTATAGTAGTTGCAATTTGCAAGTCGGGAAACCACAGCCTAGAGTTGGAACTTGGAAGTGGTTTTGCTTACGATTTCGGGCTTCATTTTCTGAGATGAGTGAATGAGAACGAGCCCTTGCGTGTTGATCTGGGAAGGGAGAAGGCAAAAACAAACTATCCAGTGTCTTTTGGTCAAAAGAGAGAACAGAAGTAGCAGTACGTAGTAGTAAATTTGTGGCATAAGCGTGTGAAAAAAAAAAAGAAAGATGCGATCACTCGCACACGTGCGCAAGTTACCAAGAACGGTCGGTATGTACGACGTGTAGCTATCATCAATTAATTAATCATCGTCATGTGGTTGTGCATTTCGTCGAAAGAGACCGGCAGAGTAGTTTAGGGTTTGTTTAGGTTGCGTTTAGATCCAAAGTTTGGATCCAAACTTCAGTCCTTTTTCATCACATCAACATGTCATACACACACAACTTTTCAGTCACATCATCTCTAATTTCAACCAAAATACAAACTTTGCGCTAAACTAAACACAGCCTTAGTTGGTGAAATAAAAATTTTTAGGTGTCACATTGGACGTTTGACTGGATGTCGGAAGGGATTTTCGGATACGAATGAAAAAACTAATTTCATAACTCGCTTGGAAACTGCGAGACGAATGTTTTGAGCCTAATTAATCCATTATTAACATATGTGGGTTACTATAGCACTTATAGCTAATCATGGACTAATTAGGCTTAAAAGATTCATCTCGTGATTTACATGTAAACTGTGCAATTAGTTTTTTTTATCTATATTTAATGCTCTATACATATGTATAAATATTCAATTTGATGTTTTTGGGAACTAAACATGCTCTTACTAGATAAAGCACCATCGTGAAATAATCCAAACGACATATTTGCAAACGAAAAATAATTTCTGAACAAACATTTTAATGCGTGTTTCTAGCGATATAAAGTAAAGGCTGAAAAATAAACTTGGGTGAAGAAAACACTAAAATCAGCTTCAAATTTAAGATTGAAAATTCAAGTTTTGACTGATAAGTATGAGTATAAGTGAAAAGATGAAGCTGAGGTGTACACTGCTGCCAAAAGTTGTAGGATAACGTGTACTCATATCAGGTACAAAATGAAGCCGGGGTGTACACTTTGCACAATAACATCTTAAATAGAACTTCAGTTATAGAAATACAATATTACAGCTTCATAAGAGAAAAAAAAAGACAATAGGCCAATAATCCAAATACTAAAACATAATTTGAGGTGATCCGGCAACGTTAGAAATATTGACGACGTGACTTTATAAAAGAAAAGAGATAATAGATCAGATCTAAATGTCATAATTAAGATGATATACACATATAAAGTTTATGAGAGAAGATGGATAGTTTGCACCATAGATACTTCCTCTATTTTCTTCATTTGAAAATATAAGGCACACCCACCATTAATCTAAAGATAATTATTATCACATTCTAGTATGTATCATCCAAAAAATATAATACATACTAGTATGGTAGATGATTATTGCTAGTTCACTATAAGATCTACAAAAGTTACACCGATACTATGATACGGATGCACGATACGCCATTGCTGGTTAAAAATAATATAAAGATGAAGAAACAAAAGGTTAAGATTTTAAATATAGAGGAGACGGCAATTCAATTTAATTTAATCAATAGGACGATCACACAATCCATCCGTCTAAAAGTATAAAAATATAAAGTGCATTAATTTTTGCACAATAATACTTTGATCATTGGTTTGTTTCATTATATAGCATCAACAACTACAGAATTAATATTACATCATATAGCAAATATGAATTTATCGGTATTACTTGGATCATGTAACACTAAACAAATATATTGATGCCTTAGTTATTAATCAAAAGTTGCACATATTTTTTTTGGGGGAAAAGTTGTACATATTAATTAATATAACTGAATACACGCATGTCGTTTTATATTTTGAACATGGGATAACTTTGATTTAGGCTTGATATCCAAACTAGAAGTGTCGGCGAAGTATTAATTAAGAGAAGTATCCAGAATTAATTTATTATTTTGAAAAACTGAAAATCACCTATATGTGAATAGTACATATATAGAAAGGTTGATTAGTCCTGCAGGGATAGGTGTAATTTATAAAAATATAGACATAATGTCCATACTAAAGTGTATGATGTAGAAGGATATCAGTTAAATATTTTATTCTATTTCCATATTATGTTAGTTGGATAGAAGTATAATAGTTTGATAATTGTGGGCAATGAGATGGAATTTGTATTCCATAAATTCTTAAAGTATAAGTCCTGAACACTATGAAATAGAAGAATGAAAGTAAATAGTTTATTAATAATATATTATCTGACAAGAAGCATAATAGTTTGATAGTTGTTGCTAGGAGGTAGAACCTGTCCAAAAGCACCACCTAATTATATAATAGATTGAACATAAGATTTGTGTTCAGTAGATTAAATGCTTTAAGATTTATTTCAAAATTATGCTGGTGATTAAATGTTTTAAGAAGTCTAAGAGCACATATTGATGGTCCTAAAGTTTTACATAATTATGTGTTCTGTGTTGTAGCTGTTATACTTTTACTATTCCTTATACAAATTTATAATACAATTACTATAAAAGATCTATAACTTGTCCATAAAGGAATTTGGCATGCATGTAAACGTGACACTTACCTTAGTAAAAGTTAGTAAAAGGACAGATGCATGGTATTCATGATTTATACTAACCAAAAGTATTAGTGATAGAAAGTGGCACCATTTGAACTGCAGAGGAACCATGAACATATTATATTCAAACCATCTTATTATTTTGAGATTATAAAAGGTTTGACACATTATAATGTTGTTAAGTTTAAAAATTAAGAAGGTTATTGTACCTCAGTTGATAGTTCTAGGTTTTTTTAGCCCTCCGATCAGATAGTTGGTAGTTCTAGTTTTTTTTTTAGCCCTCCGATTAGATGTGAGAGTTGTGTAAACCGAAGAGTTTTTTTTATTGACAAAGTTGTGCAACATAGAAATCATATAATAATTTAATGATAAAATGTAAGTAGATATAATTTGGATCGTCTTCTTATTTCTACATGAGAGAATCTCAATAGTTTTTTATCCCCTGCGTTTTTTCTGCTACCTTCCGGATGGTTCTTTTTTTAAAAAATATTTGTTTGACTAAGCTAATTTGACTAGCACTGTTAACCTTTTTTCATCTGGAACTATCCTGATAGCTAATTGGTGTATTATCCTAATGATCTAACGGTCCACCTTTCTTCCCACTATTATCCTAGGGCTATTGTTATTCAGGTGACGTGGCTCATCCTTGTTGGAGAGAGGTTGTTGCTTTCACATATGTAGATACATAATAAAATTAGAGATCTTGAGGACAAATGATTTAATAATAAGTTAATTATATGCATGCACGTTTTATATTATGAAACATCTAAAAAAATAATTGTGTTTTATATTACGGAATGAAGGGAGTAAATGATTTAAATGTTAAAAACAATTGAGGTGATTGGACTTTATGAGAGATGATCAGAGAATTAATATTGACTACATTTATTGAGAACAACTTTATGAGTGTAGGATTATGCCCGTTAATAAGCTTTATCTCACTTATAGCAGCTTTAAATAATATATGTAATATGCTGGTGTACTAGCATCGGCAGGTTTAAGAGATCACGTATCCGGATCAACCATGAGCTTTGGATACACTCGACATGTCCGGGAGCGCTAGAGAGCAAGGAAAATACATGTCAAGACATATAGATTCAGGCCTCTCGAAGGATTCTTGGACACTGTCAGCAAAGTTTATACAAGGTTTATAGAGCTCTCAAGCTAGCTAACAAGCATGTAGTTCTTACTGATTCTACCATCCAATTCTTTCTATAAAGCGTGGCTGCCCCCTCCTCCGCCCAGGAACAAAGGGCACTATACATAATCATAAGCTTGAATTCCTTTTTACTCCATGCTGGTTTTATTGTGTAGAGCAAAACATCACATGGGACTCTATCTCATTGCATCAATGCGGTGAGACCACATAAGTTTAATAGTGCAGCCAACTACTGACTCCAAATCATCTATAGCTAATCTAATAGTTCATTCGTACAACAGTTAACTATAAAAATATACTATACCATTAATACTTGATCCCACCTCTTAAACACACGTAACGTCTTGGAGTCCGTGTTGCAGCTGGCTACTCCCTCCATCTATTTTTGATAGTCATATTTCATCTTGGCACAATGACCAAGTATAAGTAATTCTACTTATCATCCATTTAAACATGTTACTAGTTATTCCTCGTAAACAAGCGATTCATTAATATTTACATTTCTCAATGTCCATGTAGTCAATCTTGTGTGGAAGAATGGAGAGTCACGCATTAAATCTGAGAAAGTCATTAAGAAGATAGATGGTTGGATTGAAATATGCCTATCAAAAGTAATTTTTTTTAAATTTGGAAATATACCTATCAAAAGTAGATGTAGGGAGTATAAATTTGTACCCCGCTTTTTTCTCTCTCTTCTCTTTTCTTCTCAATATGTGGTTATAGCTGGCTTATAGCCTGCTATTGTACCTACTCTAATGGAATCTGGAGTTAATGTGATGTATAGACTCTGCAGCCGGCTCATCAGTCCTTAGGGTGATGCAGAATCCAAGCAGATACGCCTCCATTACAGCAAGTTTAATAGTATAGCCAAATGTTAGCTCCAAGTCATCTATAGCTAATCTAATAGCCCATTCATACAACAGTTACCTATAAAAATATACTACACCATTAATACCTGGTTCCACCTCTCATACACACAAAATATCTTAGATTTTGTATTGCAGGTGGTTATAAATCTGTAGCCCGCTTTCTTCTTTCTCTTCCCTTTTCTT